AAGGAAGTCAACCGAAAGTAGGGAGAAAATTAATCATTCTCACACGTGAGTTTAATTATTTTTTTTCCTTTCATCTCTATTAAAACCCAACACTTATAAGCTGTAATAATCTCAACTTACCTATCGTGTTTCTTAAAAGATTTTCTATTAAAATTATAGTGCCATTTTCACTTTATGATTTAATAAAACTTCAGAGAAAAAAATAAAGCTTCTCTTGATATAATCCAGACGATTATTACGAGTAATAGGAATTTAATATATGAATATTAATATGTCGCGTAGGGGGAGGTTATTAAGCGCATCTCCTCCTGTTCTTTTTCGTTTCGAATATATTACATTCTCAAAAAAACCCTACATTGTAAAATAATATGCAGTAATTACGAACAAGAAGTGCTTAACGTTTCGCCGGCGTTTATACACTCGAAAACTAACGCCTTTGAATTTAAGCGAGAATTTCAATAAATATTCACTTTTCGAGATCTTGGAGAAACGTAAATATTTTCATTAACTGTGAGGAAACTTCTTTCACATTCGCTACATAATTATTTTTTTATATTCGATTTGGTAGAAGCAGATCTACTGCATTTATTACGCTTTAGGAATGTATACTAAACAATTATCCAACTAGTTGCAGGAGAAAGAAAAGGCCGCCTGTATACGCAACAAAGTAGCAGCAATTACGAAACAATTAAAACGTTACCTACCGATCGATAATTTACGACCTACCTAAAGCCAAACCTGTATCATCCTTCACAATCGATTAATAAATTCGCGTGGCGGAAAATGCATTCTGATGATCAGTAGCGTTTTATTCTTAACGCCCTTCCACTGATACTCTTTATTTCGAGTAGTAAACTGTATTTTTTCTACTGCGGATTTTATCGAATTTAATAGTTGGTATAGAAAACGTGTGTGTTACGCTACTGTAGGATAAGAAGCCTAAAGTAACGATAACTTAACGCAAGCCGTGTTGCTACTTATAATTAGATTTTTTTATCTGCGAAAAAATATTGCATGTTTTAGATCTGGGATGATTTAGCTGGTGGCGATTAGTAGAAATAAATGTACATGCTCCGGTGTAAAATTATACATTACAGAAAATGTGGTGGCTGGTTTTTCATTTGCGATAATCTCGATGAGATTGCGAACGTTTGGAAAATAGGCGAGTTTTGTTGCATTATACGCGGCGATATTTTCGTTTTTCGTTATCGATAAATTCGACTTCACCTGTCGCCGAAATGAACTGTCGAATCAATTAGAAACTAAGATAATTCGGTTGGCAGTAGAAATGCCTAGATTAGTCGAAAACGAGCGGGCATGTTTAGAGATAAATCGACTCCCACGAAACGATTCCGGTGCGCCCGGAACGGAAAAGAATACAGCGAAAGACTAATGATGGAAATTATAAAAATAGTCCATTATTACGATTTTCGATAGAGTGGAGAGATAAAGGTAACTTCTTAATTACCTGGGACCCGCTACCGATGGAGACCAGAATAAACCCATAAAAACCGGAGCTGCCTTTAAAAGTTTCAGATAAAAAAACCACAACCTTCCTACCTGGGCGCTGTTTTGTCTTTAAAACAACTCGCTGTCGTTTGAAAGGACAAGGATTATATTTAGTTTTTGTGAAATATAAAGACCAAATCCTTGCAACGCATTTTGATAATTTCTCACAATATTATGTTGTATTAATTACCAACAATTCTCGAGTGCTAATATTTCAAATATCTCATAAATTCTGATTAATTAAAAATCTAAATTTTCGCGATTATCAGGACCGGCCCCAGCGGCTGTTCCGAGGCGACATTATACCGGACCACCTCGAATAATCGTCGGGTTTTTATGGCAAGGCGATAAATTCCACGGTAACGAACCGACCATCAAAGATTCGGGTTCGAATTTATTACGGTGGGTTTTCTGGTCGATAATATTTATGTCGGTTGTTTGAAAAAGACGCCACTATTTCGGATCGGGCGCACTAAAATTTGATATCTAAGGTCTTATATGGCACTCAATAAAACCCGAATGCATCGTGATTATTACGAGATCATTATGTATAGAAGATAATTTTTGTTTGTAGTAATGTCGGCAAGTAATAATAGTTATTTACCTAAACTGACAACTGTGAATATGAAATTGTGTGATTGGTTCATTTCATTATAATTGTACTACTGTTTACTTTGGTGTTATTTGTATTTAATGTCGCTATAAACTATTTAAATTTGAATGCTTACACGTGAATACAAAAAGCCTTTTTGTTTGCGATTTGCATATAGGCATATTCATTGCGAAAAAATATCGAAGACACAGCTGGCAGTCCGGCTAATTTTATAGTAGGAAATACTTAAAATGCCTGAAATAATTTAACACTGACTTGTCCCGATAAGTATCTCAAAAACATTTACCCGCTAATATACCATATAAATTATTTTACGTAAGATCCTATCTGCCACTTTGTATACCGGCTTTATGGCGTCTCCGGTACTTCTTTTTTTACTCTCTCCCGGTGCACATTTTCTCGAATATGTATCATTGTATGTACACCCTGTATATACGATATTATTTCGTACTATAATTACTCGATTTGTGCACAGGAAAATTAATTTTAATAACATTTAATTTTCCCTTTTTAAAAGCAATAATTACAGTAGGTTTTCATTCCTTTTATATTATTTTATCTTGTCGCAAAACTGGATCTGCACCACAAACTATACGACTACACAAAGGAATATGTAAATTACCTGTTAATTTCGAGCGAGAACATGAACTGCATTATAATATCGTATGTAAGTGTGTACGTACGCATAAAAAAGACATAAATAATGCGTTATTGGAATTATTTTCAAAAGAGTTTCTTTTGTTCTTTCTTATATGAAATTAATAACCTTGAAACTGTTTGATGGAATGAGGATTTCACTTTGTAATTTACTCGCAAGTGAACGAACGGGATTTTAAACGTACTTATACGTTGATGCTGAAAAAAAAAGGTGAAAAATTTTCTTTCAACACGCAAGTAGGTTTTTAAAATATTACTACATTCCATATGCGCTATTTCAGTCGAGTTTAAGTATCGTATAATATTTTTTCTACGTCGTTTCCATATACAATCGTGAAACAAACAATTCTATTTTATCCGGAGAGGTGTTATTTTTCCGGTATCGATTTAAGCTCCGTAGTGGTATAAAAATAAATCAAAAATCCAGGTCTATAATCCCGTTAGAGACGGCGTATCAACGCGGTCTTAAGGGGTTTTATCCGTTGAAATATTAAAAAAATTATTCATACCGGATGCGGCGATAAGAAGGGGGGATTTTCCCTTACATGTCGAAAGGTATCTTCATCAATGGGCATTAGGGCGGGCGTCTGATTCCGGCTTTTAAAGGGTCGTTAGATTCTCGACGGTGTTATCGGGGATATTTTTTTATTATTATAAGTAAAAGTTTTTTTTTTTCAATCGAGAAACGCGCCACGACGCGCCGCGTTGACGGAATTAAATAAGTATAGAAAGTGAGTAGGGAGAAAATCCGGTTAAAACACGCAAATTGCCCGTCATCATGTGTAATTAAATTATAAAATTTAGCATTATAAATAAGCTGTTTCCCGAAAAGAATCGCAAATTATACACCACTTTGTTATCCGAGATCCCATCGCCAATTTTCAATACACTCTTGTTTCGACGGAATTCGGTACATCGACATAAAATGCAAATTATAATTGCCGAGCGGGCCTGTATTGGTGCGAAAAATGCCTTTATTATTTTACCGCAATAAATTCGCAAAACTTACGGATTTGTTCGTGTATTGCTCTGGCTGTTTTAACGTAAAAATGCTGACAATAATGACGTTTTACGTTGAAATTCTCTCCTCTATATAACGTATTTTTTCTGTATCTTTTTTTTGTGTGTGCGAAGGGCTAATGTCTGAATCAACAAAACCGCGTAAAGCGTCACTTTTCCGACATATAAAAGTCCACCCCCTACAGCCGAGCACTCGTGTAGAACATATTGTACAATATTTTGCACTCTTTTCGTTTCACCCCCTTCCCTCTTCGAATACTGATGAAAATGTTTTCGGGATTGTGCGTCGGTACCAGGGTCGTTTCAACCAATATTTTTTCCATTTATAATTCGTCGATATACTTAGAGAATTCATGCGAAACATTTAGAAAAATACGAAGGTTTTAAGGGTGTTATTTATTCTTTATAGAGTAGAGTTTAGGGAGTATATTGATTGCAATTATTTGTTGATAAAATTATGTATGATGCGCCACTGGGTTCTCTTTACTGTCGTCCACCGCTGGTTTTATTATATTGTCAACCCCGCGAGTCAATATTTTCTGAACCGTTTGCTGAAAAGTCTCTTTTGTAATGGATTTGTTATTTTTTTTTGGAAATTCGGACCCGTGTCACCGCTTAAAATATGTATTTATGTACGTTTGACCTCCCTCCAGTTGACCAAACAATCCGTTCCGAAATTCAAATTCACCCGAATTTTATTATAACACAAACACATATATACAATCCTTCTCTCCGTCTACACATTAAGCTGATATCATTTACAACATATTAAAATACCGCCGGAATCGAAAACGCCCGTCGAAATTTCGGCGATTTCCGAAAGAATTTTTCCCAATCTCAATAAAACCCGAAACGTGGAAATTAATTATGCGGGCCCGCTTTTTAATTAACGCGCTCGAATCGGACGAAAAATTCCGGTAAGCAGCATTATTGAGTAATTATCGAAGCGATAATGTACGTAATGTCCGATATAAATTACGCACCCGATATGCCAGAGATTCCGACATTGAGGAGCGCACACGCGGTGTATTATAAATTACCAATTAAACGTTAATTACTACATAAATTGATCGACGAACGTTTTTTTTTTATGATATTAATAAATTTGTATACACCAATATTATTGTCTAGTGGTATTTAATTAATCGATAACCGTTTAATTTATGGTAAATATTTATTTTTTTTTTGTTTTTATTTACAGTTGTGGTTTTGGACACCACGGGGGAGGCCAGTCTCGATTGGACTCGGTACCCTTACGGACCGCAGGCGAACACTCCAGGGGTGAGTACCTTTTTAATATTATTACCAAGGATTCTATTAATCAAAAAAAAATCATACACCCTTTACTAAATTATTTAGTCTTGATATTTTAATTATTAAACCCGTCAAGATGCGTATACGTCTAGTTAGGTAGATAACGTTAAGTTGGGCCCTTCACGGCGCGATGGGGCTAATAAATAGTGAATTCTAATTTGAAAATGGCTCGGCCGAAATATAGCTAAAACGTGCTTATAATCGTGAATCATGAACTCCGGGCGTAAAGTCGTCCGGGAGAGATATAAACCCGGCGCGCACTCGACGCAACGCCATAGGGGTCGCCTGATAATATGATTAGGTACCTTGACGTTGATTTATATGGTAAATAATGGCAAATAGCGTTTGCTAGATGTGCAGGGAAATTCGGTAATTCGCGAAAATTGCTCTCTGCCCGAAAACCGACGCGCCGGCACGCCTCCCGCATCCCACAATCCCCCTTATAATTCCCGGTCCGAAACGGGAAAACTGGAAATATTCCGGGGCGTTTTCGAACGATTCGGGCGACAGCGAGAGTGTTAAATGGACATTTTATCTCCCATCCAGATGTTCTTTAATTCGAATTATATCTGTCTCCAAATTATTTACTAAAGTAAATATTTTAACACCGTTCACACCCTTGACATAAGCGTCGTTTTTTAACTTCAAGTTTTGCATAATATCTTCTAAAAATGTAGATATATTTTTTTGGAATATTCCTTTTTATTTAACGAGTGGAAAATAATCGGTGAAAAAAGAAATACCCGAAATTAAACCGGCTTTTATCGGTAACTTGTTAACGTTGAAAAATGTTATTTCCGCCCATTCGATATGTCTCTTGTCGCACGGGCCATTACGTCAAACGATGCGGAACGATTTTTTTTTTCGACCCGTCGTGACACGTCGAAAAAATATCGAATTTTGTGTATTAATTGCCTCTCGTTCGCGATACAAGCGTTGCCAAAAAAATCGGCGCTCGAAAAAATGCTAAATCTATGGATTAATAGATTTTCCTTTACTTATTTTTGCGGTACTGTTATTCTGCGATTGCCGTAGAAAATGCATGGTTGAGTAGACACGACCAAAATATTTAAACAAATCATTGCGACAATCTGATTAAAACTGATCTGATTAAATTAAATTCCGCAGGTAAATAAGCTTTATTTATTTATTAAAGTTGAGCGAAATGCTTGGCAAGTGTGACGTATATTGATATTTGTTTTGCACCGACTGTATATTCTTATTTGATCTAATTTGGACGTGTCTACTCGACCGCCGTTTTTTTCTCTATACAGCGTAAAATTAAATTTGGAAAAAGAATCGAAAGGGACCGGCGCAAAAACTATTTTAAATCGCCACCGCATTCGATATGTGCCATCTCGCATGTGAATTACGGACGTCCATTAAATCGGCAATGTAGGCATTGTATTTATATTATCTGTCAAATGATGACAAAACTATCGGGTATTAAGCGCATCGAAACGATGGCGAAACCGTTTTTGCCGGGTGCATCGGTTAGGTATATAGGGAATTTATTTTTAATAAAAAGACGAACAGAAGAAGAAAACCAGTTCGATCGGAATCGAGAAAACGTTTTTACTCGAGTTCGCCGTATACGCTCTATGCATGCCCGCCATCTTTATAACACTTTTTAAGGTTCTCGAGTCGACTGACTAGTCGCTAATGCAGCATAATAGGACGTTCATTAATTGCGCTTTTTCCTTGGATTTTTGCAAAATCCGTAACGACTAGACGAGACGTCGTATAAATTTCACAAAAGCCCTCCGTTTTTAGTTTTTACCAGCGAACTACCGTTAATTAAATTGCGGTTTTCGAGTCAACGAAATAAACCGAACTTTAATTTTTACAAATAGGCGAAAATAAAAACTATAACTGGACGTAAATCATTTATACGAGAAACAATTTCGCTGCGGAGCTCGAAGTTTTCTCACGTATAAACATCCTATCCACATGGAAACCGGTGCGGTCGTTAATTTCTTTTACCGATCGCGTAAACAATAAGCTGTGGCTTCGTTTTTTTTTTCGGTTGGGTAAAAATTATTATCGCTCCCGACGGTGCTGTTAGGTCGAAAATCGCTATGCGGATTCATTTTCTTTGGAGAATATTGAGTGCAAGGAGATTTCCCTTTACAATACCGCCGCTTTTTCTTCGCATATACAGGGTGTTTCTTTGGTTAATCCAACGATGATATGCACCTAATCTTGTAGAACATCCCTCGTAGAAACATTGTATATGTATACCAGGTGAGGTTAATAAATCGTTAGATCGTGTAACTGACTGGTTGGGTAGTTTTCGTTTTAATTAGACGCAATGTATCATTTAGTTCGTTAAGTTCGGAGTTTTAAATTAAACAAAAACTTTTTGATTTATACGGAAAGTTTGTGTGTACGTATCAGAAGGGGTAAATTGGGGGATTTCGGGGGAAGACGAAATTGAATTTTATTGCGGCATTTTTAATTCCTTTAATGGCGTTCTTAATTAATTAGATTTTTTTTTGTGTCGAATTCTGTAAACTTTACGGATTCGACGAAGCTCATTGTCGTTTATTCGATATAAAAATCTATCACCTCGTCGAGTTTGCACATCGGGATACAAAGATATCGCCCGGACTCAAACTTGCCAAACGAAGCGTAAAATCGCCGTCCTACTGCATCAGGGAACTTTTCCAACTTCGACGTTCGCGACCGGAATACAATTCTCTCTCCTCGATCCGGTACAGTCGTCCTTTTTACGCACAGCCGGCGATTTTTGATCAACCATTGTGTTATTACAGATTCGCGGACGGCGAAACCTCGGTTTTTATCGCACCGCAGGGACGCTTCGGAAAATTGCGTTTTCGTATTAGTTTCATAAAGTCCGAGAGTCGCCCGGCCGCCATCAATCATCTCTCCGACCCTCCGGGAACAGGAGGACCCAAGGAACGCGTCTTTCTCTTCGAAACAAATTCCATACAAAAGCGCGCCTAAGTGTTGTTTGAATAGTTTTGCGTACAAGGGACGCGAAATACTTCGAGTTTTGCATATTTGAGATGCGAAAACGAGAAAGTTTTTGTATACTAATTTCGACGTTTTTTTGCTACAACATAGGTGTCAATATTAGAGGTGATTAGGAATTCCGAAACGACACTCCCCAATTTTCTCCCCTTGTAAATAAGTAAATTCCTCGGGTTAAGATCCCCGGTATATATGCGGTAGGAAAAAACCCGGAGAATTCTTAGACGTCTGCGTCGCGCACCGCATCAAATGCGACTTTCAATTATATTTATTTCTCTTCCCTTCTGCCTAGTAAGGGTTTTCCCGAAACCTAGGGCGTGGGACGTCAGGGGGACGAAAAGGAAAGGATGCCATCTCTGAATTTAAATCAGGTCCGTAATGGAGGGACCGGCGTAATTGAGTTTTCGGGGCGCCCTTTCCTCTCCTGCCTCTTCTTCCACTGTATATATATGTATGTAGTAAATGTCGGAAGAGATGTTCGAGATCATTTGATATGTCGTTTCGTCTTCGAGACGTTTTCCTTTTAACCAGTGACGTGTGGGTTATGAGATTTCCCAGTTTAAACGCAACTTTAATAGGTTTTATTTGATGAGCTCGGGAGATTAACGCGTACGCTACTGGTGGACCCGGCGAAAAGGGGGATTTCTATGAAGTGTCGCCCCTATATGGTCGTTTTGTTGCCTTTAATCTGTCGCTTTTGTTTAGCAGGAATGCCTTATTTCGGGCGATTTTCGAAAGGGGTTACGACGAATTAATTTCCATTCATCCGCCCGCGTACTCGTTTAATTGCTGGCGAAAGGCTGCTCTAGATAACTTTGCGAATGCCCATCGTATAATTTTAATGCGAAATCACAAATGTTCTTTTTGTAATCCGCGATTTTTTTGGCAATCGTGTTTACGAGGTGTTTCCGATAAATTCATCTACTACAAGTAACATTTTTTTAATATTTTTTTTACCGAAATACAATAATTCTAGCAGTAAAATCGTTTATTTTCCGATCTTCCGAATCGCCGGAAAGCAACCGAACTCGTCGTCACGGTCAAACGGCGATATCTCCGTACGGTTTCGCTTCGTTTTTGCTCTCCCGGCCCTTTTGCAGCCTTAATAGATAGGAAATTACTAAAAAAAACTACACCGGGGACTCCGCGAATCCTTTGGAACTTCATTTTCGCGAATCCCCGACGGGTCGGCGCGCGTGTGTTCCTCGAGGTTTTTTTTTCTCCTTTACTTCGAGAAAAATCGAAGCACCGAAGCCAATTGGAATTATATAAAAAAGCTTCTACGGAAACGTATAATAACGATTCGCAAGCCGCTAGACCGATATTCCATTTCCTCGATTCGCAATCGATAAATTTATCGACGTCGCCTCGTATACGCTGAAAATAGCGGATTATACGAGGCAAGCGCGACATTTTACGGTATTAATTTTTGTTATCATGAATATTAGAGGGTTTTTAAGCGGTGCCAATTAAGTCGAAGCCGATGCAGCCCCCGCGCCGACCGAAAACCGAATAAAAACCCAATTTAGACTCATAAAAAATGTACCGGGGCAGGATGCAAGCCGGGAGCGAGCCGGTTCCTCCGTATTAATGGCCTTTTATCGTAATGAATTTTTAATTCTTCCGCAACCGATAACCCCCTACCTCCGCCCCCCCTCGGGGGGTCCTTCCTGTTCTGGTTTCACGATGGGAAAGCGAGCGTTTCGGGTTCGAAAAAACTAAACTATTTTGAATCGTTCAAAATCTAAAGTAGCCTGAATGAAGCAGTCTAAATCCTTTGGTCAATACCCTATTTTTCAAAAAATAAAAGTCACTTACATAATCTCTCGGTGTTATGTTGAAGCATGCACACCAACCCTGCATGTATAAATTCGAGTTTGTAACTTTGTTGTAGGTATTAGAGGGGGTTTCCTTATTATTTACGTTTTCTTAAATTCTGATTTACGAGCTCGTTGGTTATTAAAAATTGCGGC